TTGAATATATATGAAATAAGTTAAAAATTAAATTATATGAGAAACATAGCTAGATGTATTTCTACTATCATGAATATTATAATAAATATTGAAGACAATTATCCAATTGTTTGTGAATAAACAGATATTCTTATTTAAGCGAAACTTCTTATTTAAATGTACATTAATGTAAACAAGCTTTCAACCGTCTCGACAGTTTTGTTATTAAATTTTTTCTACCATATAGAGAAATTAAATTGATTTACAGATTCTGTGAAATTTTATTTTGACGAACACATTACACAAACATACGCGGAGAATTTTTAATCAATCGAAATCCTTCGAGAAGATACTTTCGATTGCAAGTCGCGCGTTTTCATTGATAGAATACTCGACATAAAAAAATATATTCGAAGGTAAAAACATTCAACAGTTATTTTTTACGTCATGGAGCGATGGACGTTGCATAAATTTTTTAAAACGATTATACAATCTATTAAAAAAAACTGTATAGAAAAACCATTTATTTGCGTGAAGCTGGCTTTTTCGCTATTACCACCGGAAAAATATTTGCAAAAACGACCACCCACGCTCGATTCTATTAAAATGGACACGTTCGAGATGAAACACTTCATGGTCTGCCGCCAGAACGAAATTGCAAGATCGCGTGGTTCCGTGATGAATCCTGGCCGAATCCAGTCCGTTTGACCTAGAACCCGCCTAATCTAGGTGAACCAGCTGGCGCATTGTTGGAATCGATGAGGTCGTTATATCGTCCGACAAACGGTTTCCGCCGGAAGTAGCGTGTTTGTGCCCAACGGGATCGCATGGATAACGTGTAGCCTTGCCGTGTACATAATATGTGTGTTTCATATGTGGCGAAACATCGCGAACAATTTCGCGCCCGGTAGTATCAGCCGTATGCGTCATTACTCTTCGAGGAATTACCGGGTCGGCTATTCATTTAAGCTTCATTATATGTAGAGAACAAGGTTATCACGTATCTGTAGAAATTCGTACTATCTTCCCTGAGAACGGATATGATCCGCTTTCGGGATGAGACGCAATCGCGTCTGATTGTGGCACGTGACTCGCTTGTATAAACAAGGTACAGCTTACATGACGACTTGGATACAGTTCGTGATAGGTTACTAGATGCTTCTGGCGTCTTTAATAATAATATCGATGTATTTATATTTTACAAAATATTTTTCCCGTTAATAATAAATGTATTTATACTATTTATGTGATTCACAAGATGCTCGATCCGGAAATTGATGAATTGCATGTGTGATATGCTTCACATTATTATTTGTGACATTTTAGTCATCAATTTTAATACTTTAATCATCAGATGCTTATCTTCTAATATAAACACGATCAGTTAAAATTTCTGCGCTTAATCAATTATCGCATATGACACATCAGTAATATCGGGTGCATCGATAATGCAAATCGTAATATCTCGGTATTATGATAATTTCAGGATTTTGCTAGATCTCCGATTTTATCGCAATAATAGTAGACGCATACTCTAGCGAACATCACACAGAAATTTTCACCACCAACGATTTCACGAAAGCTCACTGTGCAACGTGAGAGTGCGATCGATAAGTAAAATGCTGGTAAAGCCTCGCGTGCAATCGGCCACATAATCTGCAGCGTAGATATGCTTGAATGGTTTCAACGTGGGCGCCCTTGATAGTTTAGAATAAAGGATCAGCCCGGAAAAATGGCGCTTTCACGATACGGTGTCCAATTACGGAAACTATTTTTCCATTAGAGCTACGGCGGCATCGTGCTAATCCCGTTTACAAGATTAAACACACCCGTGTCATGTGTCACGATCAGCGAAGGGAAGAACACTGAAATCTCGTATAAAACGCGAAAAAAGTCGGGTAAAGCATGAAATCTCGAAACTTCAGTATTAAGGTGAAAAGGCATTGTGCCCGAAAGATAAATTCTCAAATGTCCGATACGCGTCATTCTAAAAATAAAATAAAATAAATACGGATGCGATAAGTGAATCGACGATTTATTTGAGATTTATGTATTGTATGCATTGGAGAGAGAAATTTCTTTTTGAAATTTCAGAAACGCCCTATCAAATATTGAATATTTAACCAACGTGTTGGGTGCGCTTTTAAATTAACGAAGGTTGTCTGAGCCGTACTTTGATATAGATATCCAAAAGTTTCGCAAATATTTGGCAAAATTTCTTGGCAGCTATTTACAAAAGAACCGGCCGATCTCTGCTAAAAGCGGCGGCATCGGTGCACTTTCGACATAGTTAGAGATACATAGGTAAACAATTTTCAACGTAAATCGATCTCTGGAAACGAATTATAACTTTGTATACGATAATAAAGATTTACTATGTAGTTGCGACTTAAAGATCGTTAGAATGGAAAAGATATGCATATAAAATGGCTTTATAAAAGCATCGCAAGCACACTAAAAACTAAATTTGAAACTCGCCAAATAAATTTTTGTAATTAAAAAAAATAATAGAATTTTTGCTATTTAGTTTTAATTGTTTAAATTTTACACGATTTTATTTTAGATTTGTATTGTTTTTAATCTGCAGTTGGTAGTTTGTTTGTAGAATCGAGCCATCGGATCAACTTCCGTTTGTGCCGCGGCGTAATAGAGTTGACAAAACTTGTTTCGAAGATTCGAAATTGCTCGTTACACTACCACTACTATTACTATGTCCAATTATGGGGCTGTAAGCGCCCACTCGACCGAAATTGCAGTCAAGATCTTTACATTCGACGCGCTTACCAGCCTAATTGTTCGATTTGCGCAGCGTGATTCAATCCGCTCAATATTACTCATTATCCGATGCGAGCTGGACAATTAGCTTGATAAATGTGCGGAATAAATTCATTTACTTTAAACTACGTTATGCAGTTTGCCCCGATTACAACGTTACATTTACTACCCATAGAAATAATTTATGCGCACGCTCGCATGCATTAATTAATGCGATTTACACGCTACGCGATTCTTAATATCTTGATTTAGTACGTCCGTAGGCGAGTAATGTCCCGCGTTATTCACCTTTATTTGTAAAGTAAATCGTGGAAATTTTTTTTGTCTGAAAGATTTACAAAGTTGGAAAATTTGTGTTAAATTTAACATATGTCGCATATTCCAAACGATCCATACAAATTTTTGCATTAATTTAACATAATATAGATATGTTAAATGGTGACATTAATACTATGTTAATATTTCAACACAAAAAAAAATGAATGCGAATTTTATAGTAATTTGAAATAAATTTTGTATAAAATCAACATATTTTTAACGATAACTTTAACTTAGAAAAAAAGTTATTGATGATCTGTAGTCACTCTCATTCCTATTATAGAATAAAATCAACATTTTTTTCTGTAAATTTTAACTGATAAATTCTGTCACATTGTGTTATTTTTACATTTTTTTTTCCAGCTGTTTTAATAATATAACATTTGAATTGAATTAACACAAAAGCAATATATCAAATTAACATATGTGTTAAATATTTAACACAAAAATTTCAATTGTCATGTTTTTTAAAAGGGAAGCATAAGTTTTCCAACTGTGTATTATTGAAACAAATCCGGAAATTCTTATGTTGTTAAACAAATGTATTACGCTATATCATATAGACGGAAAAGAGAATATGCCTGAGACGTTTCTCCTCAGAAAATCATTCCCCGCTGATTGTTACGAATTCTAAAAGTAGTAATAATTGCCTCGTGAAGCATTCGATCGTTTCTCATTTATACGACGCGACTGCTAAAGCCAGATGCTACGTTCAACTTAAAGGGGGATGCAATCGAATAATTCTACCGCAGTGCACCCATTGTGCCCATTGTCTTTATCGTCGACTATTGTCGCAAGCTCGTATCGAATTCTTGCTTGCACGGCCATGCACGCCAATTGCACGAGCTACTTCAAAGCGAGGTTCCGCGTACCCGGGGAATTATATCTTCTCCTGTACGGATGCTTTAATCCATGAATTTCGCGATGTTGACGTAGTAACTCTTGCGGAAACTATAAATGTTGCGGTTAATACAGAGAAATAGCTCTCGGAAAGTTATGTCGGTAGCACGCGATTTTGTTGTAAACTGGCCATGCGGAATTACAATCGTTCCCGCTAATTGAATTTATGAGAAAATCGATACTCATGTCGGGCATGTACGAGTAATCTTCCGCGAAAAAAAATGAAATCCCATTTGGGAATAAAAATATTTGCAGTTTGCGTTTCGAATTTGCTGATGGTGCAAGTCATCTGTTTTTTGTTTGCTTTTTTTTATTTACGAGGATATTTTATATCAATATTTTTTGTCGAAAGAATAGTCGAGTTTAAATCGCGAATTACGCTAGATTATTCGTAAATCGTGCAATTTTGTCTGGAATATAATCAGTCTTTTGTGACCATTTTATAAATAGGTAATAATATTTTCACAGACTGTAGGATAAAATTTCTAAAATACGGTGATTTTTTGCACAATTTTAGTTGGCTTTGCAACATGAAAAAATAACTGAATTTTGGCGTACCTAGTCCCGATTCAATCAATTTGTTCATGATCGAAAAAATTGCACAGTCGCTACGAGATATTCAGGTATTGGCGACGAGTTTTTTTATTCGGTGAAAATTTTTGTAAAGGTAGCTATTGACAGTCAAATTTTCCTTTTACACGTTTGAATTTTGACCTCACTTTTTTTTATCATATTTGCATAATATTTAAAGATATTTATTAACCTGTGTTATTTTATTTAAAATATTGATATCATTTTTTTAATATAATTTCTACTACAAGGAAATAAGGCTTAGGAATCAAATATGATAGATTCGACAACAAAATGTTTGAAAATTATTTATTGATTCCATGATGCCATTTAGAATTGTTAATGGAATTAATTGAAGTGATCGAAGTTCAATGCAAAATAACGTCGAAAGTGGCTCCAAGTACTTCAAATAAATTGAAATTGTCCCAGAAATATTGAAGAATATCATTGATTTTCAGCTTGTTGACTTTTAAGCGGCAAGATCGCGTAGATGGAACACGCGATGCAGCTGAGAAAAAAGAAATGCCGGGAACGGTGCGTTTCTATGTGACGACAGAAAGATCTGCTGGAACTGCGAATTGCTTGAAAATTTGACGATCCGAGCGCGTCGTCTGGAAAGTCTAGACGGACGAGTTTAATCCCGCCGGATTAACCGCCCGCGAATAATTTTCCGACAATCTTCTCCAGACAACGTCACGGAGGAGGCTGTTTCATTCTTCTTATAATTCAGCCCTAACAGGCTTTCGTCCGTCTTTCTTGAGCAATTTAGCGAATCATCGAAGATGGACGAAGACGATACCGAGGACATGCGCGAGGCTGTCACGCTGGTGAACCGACTCACCACGAGAATTGCTTCATCCTCTCGAAAATTTACATCCAAGACTAACCGTCAGATCTTGCGAGCCCAAGAATCGGCCGAGAAAGAAGATTCCGACACGATGGAATGCGCGTCCGAGAACGAGGTTGAGAATCTGCCAAAGGACGAAGACGCGCCGATTAGGATGCGCAGGATATGCGAGAGGAGTCGTCACTCCTTGGACGTTCCGGACGACACCGAATTCTCGATGACGCGCAAAAAGATAGCGACATCATCGTCTCTTCGCGTAAGCGACGACTCAAAATATATCGGCTCGCGGCTGGGCTTTTTCATGACGACTCGCAGCCCGCAGTCCAGCTCTAGCCAAGAGGAGTATGAACCCGAAATCAAGAGCATCTCGAGGTTGCAGATGCAACAACAACGCCAGCAACAGCAACAGCAGCAGCAGCATCTGTTGACGACCAGTGGTGTTGGTAGCCAAGTGACAGCCAGATCGATGGAGAGTCTGCGATCGTCGAGGAACTTTTTGAGCGCCGACGATCGCTACAGCGAGGATTCCAAATCAATGGAGTCGCTGTCCTCGGAAATGCACATGGGTTCGTCTTCAAGGGGCCATTACAGAAGCTTTCTGACGTCGTCCACGAGGGACGTGCGCAAAATCGTGACGGTCGAGTCGAAGAGCAGCGAGAACCTGCATCGGGAGGAGAGTCTGAACGCCGAGGTCAGACGCGGCCTTTTCGCCAATACCGGCTTTGAGAGAAAGCTACCGCAGCATCTAAGTCTGCCGCCGCCGTCCAACATATTCTCTTTGACCAGCCCGGGTGGCAGCGATCGCAAGATCACGATCCTGAGCCCGCACTTGCCCATGCAAACGTCGGAGTTTCAATTCTCGGCGCAGACGCTCAAGAGCAGGCGCAAGAAGGCCATCGTATTGCCGAGGTTGGTGTTGCCCCGAAGCGAATCCGAGGTCTTTTTAGAGTGAGTAGTTGAATGATAGAATTTCCTCTCCTCTGTTTTGCCATTGTGTGGTCGGTGTTTTTGAGGTAATACCGCTCGAGGCGATCCACTCTTGTTTCATTATTTTTCACGTTAATCTTTCCGGGCTCCGTATGTCGGTTTATAAAAATGAAATGGAATGAGGGAAAATCAATAATAGAAATTCATCGCGCAAAGTCGTCTCGGCTAAACAACAAATAAATCAACCGATAAGCAGAACCGAACATAATATGCAATGTTGTAATTAACACAGCTACTTGATATCGTGGATATACACGTGGGAATATTTAATATTTATCATATACATCGTGATAATCCATCGGGACGCGAATTATATTACGACGCGGATGATTATTTCATTATGATTATGAATTAAATTGGTAGAATAATCCATATCATATGTGAATGGAAACCCATGCAGCTGCACATAATATTGCAACGATATTGTTACAGTTGACCTCCCACCATCTGTATGTGAAAAATAGTTTACAGATATAAATACAATCAAAATTTATTATTTGTTTCAGAGTAGAATCTTTCAATTTTTAAAGAAATGATAATTTGATACAAAATATTTTGGATTTCTTTCTTTGAGAGACAGAGAAAAAATTCTTGCAAGTTTCTTTATTTTATTAAAATCGTGAGACATCAATATCACTCTTAACTTTATTTGCCAAAGAATAACATCCTAGTTTTTTATTTAAAGATTTATTAATATTAAGAAGAAGACGTAATGTTATTTTTTACTGTTATGAAGGGATTGCGATTTTAATAATGTAATATTTGGTTTTGACAAAGGGTTAGCATTACACCAGTGTTAGATGTAAATATTCTTGCCACTCGAGAGAAGATCGAGAGAAGTGTTTGCCGCAGGGAAACATTCCTTTGTGATGTGAATCGAGCATGTTTCAGACTCTATCTAGAATTAATTCGATGCTTTTTGATGAGGAAAATAGTTCCCGTTTTGGTTATATTAAAATATATTACCATGTATATATGCTTTACAGATATGCAAATATAAATAAATATATATTTTCCGTTTGTTATGCATATTAATATTGCTCTGCATATTAATATGCATTTAATATTACTATTACTTCCTTGCGATAATACATCAATTACATAATCATACAACTGAACTGACAATTATATATACACAGTTATTGTATTACATTTACACACGTTATGTGTTCGATAGTTTAAAGATTGTCATTTATAAACATAATACAAAAAAGGGAAAAAACATTTAATGTAATTTGAAAGTTTAAAGTATATAAAAATTATGAAATATTATAAAATGTTAATGTTGTAATCTTTATCGATTGCAGAGATTTAAAAATTAGTTACTTTGTAAAAATGATACAAAATATTAATATTGAATGCTTTATTCTTCGTAGAAATGATCATTTCGAATTTATTTAAAGGCGCTGCTAATGGTTTCAATTTTGGTTTCGTGTTTGACGCATAAAACTTGAAGCGCGATTATATCCAATTTTCGTGCGGTTCATTAAACATGTTACATTTCGCTTTTCTCGTAATAATCTGTTGCTTTCTAAAAATGCATCATTAATTAGAATCATGTTGCGTAAGATAGTTATATAACAGGCATATAGTTACGCGTCCCTTAGGAATAATAAACAGGAAACAATCACTTTCACTGTCATACGTTTATAGCGATTGCCTCTCTGCTTGCAATCTCTGGCAATCCAACAAATCGCAATAATTATATCACATTTTAAGTGCTGCGGATATATGTTTGTCGATCGTACGCGAGAGAGTTTATCGAACGTCTTTCAACTGGGACGTACGTTCGAAAATAGATTGCGCGTCTACGATGCTCTCAAGAGTTGAAAATGTCGGCCAATGAATGTGGCATGGAACACGAATGAGGGGGATGCGGAAATCTTCGTTCACGCTACTTTTTCCCCGAGAAATGACGAACGAGATTGGAAACCATTTAGACGTTCTCCAATCAGAATAAAGTTCGATCGACGCGAACGTGCCACCTTGATGGTGCAAAGTAACTTCCTTTTTTTCAGGCTTTAAGGGCATGCTTGTAACGAGGTAACTCGTGTTTTCAAAGAAATTTAGGCTTTTGTGAATTAAAAAAAAAAATATATATATATATATATTCTCGTATAAAAAGATTTAACGCAACTTGATTTTTCTGAATTGAATGTAAAACGATCGGGATTGATGCATGCTTGAAAAGCATATACTTATGATGCATGCACGAATTATTCATGAGTGAAGATATGACTTGGTAAATATACTCTTGGATCATATTGTACATTAAAACAGTTGACAATATTTTTGAAAAGTGATTTTGCGAAATTTTCTATATTTCAATATCACTTATCTCTTATCAATTCTTATACATCGGAAAAATTACTACTTTTCTTCTTAATCCATTGCGACGAAAAAAAACCGGTGAAGTTTAGTAATTAATTTGTGGACTCTCGAGCGGAAGCTCGCCGAGATAAATTCGGCGGTTGATTAAAAGTTTCTTTATGGCTTCGCCTGAAATCTTTATTAAAGTCTTGTTAAAAGTCGCTCAAGGGCCATTTGCAAGACATACAGTTCTATTTTGCATTAAGTCGTTAAAATATTTAATTATGGTAATTTACTTAATTAAAAAAAAATATTCTATATAATTTCTAATAGTTGATACAATTTTCTATTAGTTGATGTAATTTTGTCGCGTTAAATCATTTTTGCACAAGCTAATATTATACGAAGAAGATTTTTCTTTATAATACAAGTATTATTCGCATGTTACTCGACATTTCTGTTAATGAAAAATTGATTTTAATTTCATAAAAGCTTTTGTTGCCTCAAAGAAAATATCATTCAAACAGAAAACATAAATAAATTAAATATTCTTTACTCCGAGATATTTTCTTTGTGGTTTTAATTTAGAGTTATGATATAATAATTATAAAATGTAAAATAATTATACACTATGTTCTTTTGGTAGAAATTAATATATCATAATTAAATACTAAAGAATACAAGGTTGAAACGTGCTTAAGCATCATGGGTTAAAGCTTGATCGTTCATATAGCCCTTATGTTGCGCAAAAGCCTTCCATTTTATCATATATCATAGCTGTAGTGCAGCAAAGCGGCTCTGTTTTCTCTTCTCTTGGCTGCATTAAAAATCATCTGACGTCATTCGTAAAGTGCACCATCGACCTTTAACTTGTTAAACAAAGCCTTTCCATGATACCTTTTGCTACAGACTCGAGAAGCGAAATGCAAAATATAAAACGGAGTATCATGTGGATAAGGAAATAACGATACTACATATTGTATATACTACTTCTATAATTTTTAAAGTTAAAGTAAAGCGCTTTAAATAATCTACACTCGGAAATAAAAATACGATTCTATCCATTATTGTTTACAATAGCATAATTATGGAATCTATATTTATGTAGTATATATTTTTTTTGGTATATAATATTAAATATGCATTTATTAAGTCCATTATTGCTTTCTATTTATAGGTAGTATAATTGTACACTTAAATCTTCTTGCCTGATAGGCAATAATAATTCATTTAATCACCAAATAATATTGATTTCTGCATTGTTTTTTTTTCAGAAAAAATAGAGAAAAAAATATAGAAAAATCTAAAATATTATTTAATGATATCAATGGCGTTGAAAATATTGATGGTATTGTTTCGGACAACTTTGTTGTCTAGCTTGTATCGTTATTTTTCAGCGTTACTGCGGTTATATTTTTACTTATACGAATAGCTCGTTACTCGCGACATTGACACATTGTGGTGTTACTGTGATATATCGCCGGCAACTAGTAACTATCGTTTTTTTTTTTTTTTTTCTAGGAATCATTATTAATCTATGCTGAGTTGAAAGCACATTTATAGCATTTTCGGCGAACTGTAACGTAAAAAAAAATTGGCGAGATCAGATTTGCAAATATTGATAACGTCAGCGTATCATTAATTAAAAAGATACGACGTAGTCAAACCAACTCGTTCAATGGCTAGTTATTTATCAGCTGCTACAATAATGGATGAGGGAACTTAATTTCCCATTAGTTACTTACATGCCCTTTGAGACACTCCGTGTTACATTAGCACATAGCTTTGCAGGAATCACCAAATTGCGTCCAAATGAATGGATGTAGGATCTGCAATGCATTAAGAGCACGTTGCTCATTAAATGTGAATATGAGTGATTTCATGCTCGAGTTTTGACATTTTTATATACGCAAGAGTAGCAGCGTATTTTTACGGCAAGATAAATTCACAGGTGGGAACAGGGTTATTTACTCGCTCCATTTTAGCGATTTTGAATTCACTCTTGCGTATGTACGTAACGTTACACGCTAATTAATCGATTAATATTACAGTGCGTTGTTTGTCGAGTAGTTGATTGCAACTCAGATACATACACAACTTTACCTACAGTTACTCCGCCTCTTATTAATTGATGTTATTTAGTGCGATAAATTGCTGTATAGTTTATAACTCGTGCAATTATCTTACGTCAATATAAAATGTTACAGTTTTAAACTAAATTTTAGATTTTGAATTGACTAAAGTTGAGTTTCTTGTAATTAACAACGCGTCATGAAAGTCATAGATATTTAATGATAATTATTCACATCATATGCTGATATAAAAGCTTTTGCTTATTCTAAATTTGTTTCTCATCTAGTGCATTCAATAAAAATTTTTTTATTAATAGAAAGATCTCTTATTTATCACGGAAAAAAAAAAGAAAAAAAGAAGATGTTGCTTGTAATTTCTCTCATTTTCTTTTGCGTTTTGAATTATTCTCTATCTGTCTAATCTTGGCAAAATATTGAATTTACTTTAATGTGTTTTATTATCATTTATACGCGTAACGCGTTATACATTGTAATCATTTCATATTGCTGAAGTTAATTTAGAAACAACAATGATGAAGTGTTACGCTTGCCTCTGTTGAAAATGCGCAATTTAAAACTTTATTTCGAACTTTTCTACGTCGGAAGCACGTAACATTAAAACACAACGTGACGATACTTAAAATGACGTCGTTCAAGTTTGATGTCCATCCAATTTAAATATAATATTACGTTGAATATAAAATGCTTTATTACATCTAAAACAACTTTGTGTTAGATATTTAAAGATCTAAAAAAGCTACTTTAATACAGAAAGTTTTTGAGCTACCTTATTTATATATACGTGATATAAATAATGGAATTTATCGATATGATAACGTAAACGTCGAAGGCATTAATTCCTAAATGGTTTCGCGTGCAGTTCACAAATCTTATCGTGCAAATCATGCTAATAGAAACTTAAAGGGTTAAGCTTCTTTGATATTTAATATTCCACACGCGATCGATCATTTCGACATGTAACCCTTACTCGCGTCTAGCCTCTTCTTTTACGCTGTTTCCTCGGCGATTCTTTCATAAGATCGATAGTAATATGGCCAGCAACGAGGCTATATGATGACCTTGATTCCTCTGAGACCTAGCCCTAGTCACACTGAGTTCTGCATATTGACCTAAACCTAAACTACTTGCGAACTGTGTGTTCTAAAGTACACCCGTGTGTAGAATGACAATTGTCGATAGTTCATGCACGATAAGTTTCACTTGTAATCGCTTTCTCTGAGTAGAAAATTG